CTAGAGAATTTTCAAATTTTCTGTTTCCGATAATTTGCTTCTGAAAGTAAAGATAAATAGATTATTCTATTAAATAATTGTTTTAACAATTATTTTTTTTGTATTTAATTTTTGTATTTAATTTTTGTATTTCAGCGCAATATTGAAATTTTACTTATAATATTAATATTTCGTTGAAATTTAAAACGTCTTTATAAAAAAAATTTAAAATGTCTCTATAAAATATAATAATTTTGATATAATTTGTTTATAAGATAAAATTATTTTATATTATAATAATATATACCATTTTTTATACGACTATTTATACTTTTAATTTCACCTTTCATATTTTGATAAATATTGAAATGTCATGTTCACCAAACTTAAATCCATTACAAATGATAATATTTATGGTGCCTTTTATAAAATATTGTTTTCAACAGTTCCTGTATTGTCCACAGGCAATTTATATTATTATATATGTATTCTAAATAAAATCTAGTAAATATTTAATATTTATTACTATGTATAAAAATATCAACAAAACAATATAAAAAATGTTTTGTGTATTTTATGTATAGTTTAAGAATTATCCAATAAAATCTTATTAAGAATACATGTGCACAAAATTATAACATAGAAAATTATAGTATAAATATAATTATAAAATAATAATAATATTATAACTCTTGCATCTCGTTTAATGTATAGATATAATAATCTATGGACATACACACACGCACGCGCGTGTGTGTATAAGGTGTTCTATATGTAGGATATCTGATTCCTAATGACGCACCGCTTGCATACAAGAGCGGATCAAACTGAGCAGAAAAGTCCTACATCATTTTGCGATTTTCGCAATTAGTAACGAGTTATTAAATATTAAAACGAACGCGTAGCTACTTGACCTATCGGCAAATGCAAGCGCGCGACGATCGCATGCGATCAGCACGCGTTTGCGGTTGATAGGAACGCAATGAAGATCTTTAAATGTGAGTCTACAAATAACAGATCTGCTTCTAGTGCACACCTCCAAACACATTTCA